TTTCCTCTCCTATCCAGCTTTGAGTCATCAGTAAAATTGAGATACATAGTAGTGACTGGATTCTCACCCAAGTAACAGCAGGTATCTGTAGTACATGACTAGGAGCTGCCTGATAATACATCCATGAAGGCTTATCCAGGGTTCAGACAGTTATGCTTCCATTAAACATGCTGTTGTCCACCTCATGTTTTTACATTTTGTCCACAAATAGACATCTTATTCAATAACTCAGAGCCCCCTGGGTGGCAGTTCAAACCCTCTCCAAGGCACCTTGGAAGAAAGGCGTGGTGATTGGCTTCAGAAAGGTCACAGCCTTGCAAATCCTGTGGAGTACAGTTGTAGTCTGCACATGCGGGGTCACTGTGAGTTGGAATTGACTCGAAGACAACTGGTTGATTTTTTTGATTGTATTAATGATTGTGCCTCAGGAGACAAGTGAGGAAACAGTTTCCTACCATAGTAGAGAAGACAACTGTCTTCATTGCTGTATGCCATAGAAATGGCAAGATTTATGTCTCAGATGCTGTCTTTCTCTGTCAATGTTTAATCCACATGTTCTGAACACTTTTACAGGTTCAGTATGAACCACTAAAAGAAAGTGTGCTGTGTCTCATGGACTTAATACATTTATATTTTTATTATAAACTAGAGATAATCTAAGTTCTTTGGCAAGTAACGATTCCTTAAGACTACTAATTTAAGAATTAAGTCTGCTGCCGAAAGATTTGTATTACATTGGGGCACTCAAAATTTGCATATGTTTTACACCTACAATGAAAATACAAGTTTACAACCTGGCAGTTAAAGTTATGGTGACTGTGTGGTTGGACAACCAAGAACTGAGAGTTGCTACATCACAAGATACATTTTTGATTAATACTGAGGGCATAGCCCAATAAATGAAAACTACAGCTCCACAGTCAACACCCACGGAAGCAGCCTTCCAGAAATCATATGTCATATTGCACTGAGTCTGCTGCAAAAGACTTCTTTAAAATGTTAAAGGGCAAAGATGTCACTTTGAAGACTAAGGTGCACCTGACCCAAGCCATGGTATTTTCAATAGCCTCATATGCATATGAAAGCTGAACAGTGAATAAGGAAGACCACTGAAGAACTGATGCGTTTGAATTGTGTTGGTGAGGAATACTGAAAATACTACCATGGACTGCCAGAAGAATGAACAAATCTGTCTTGGAAGAAGTACTACCAGAACGCTCCTTAGAAGTGAGAACGGCCAGACTTCATCTCACGTACTTTGGTCATATTATGAGTCCTGGAGAAGGATAGCATGCTTGGTAAAGTAGAGGGTTAGCACAAAAAGGGGAAGACTCTCACTGAGATGGATAGACACGATGGCTGCAACAGTGGGTTAAGCATAGCAAAGATTGTGAGGATGGCACAGGACCAGGTGTTGTTTTGTTCTGTTGGACATGGGGTTGCCGTAAGTCTGAGCTGACTTAACGGCACCTAACAACAACACAGCTAACCAAAATATCACTTTAGTCCGAGAGGGAGGTTAACAAGAGATAAATGACAATTAGTGAACAGTATATAGTGAGCTGCAAGTCAAACCAATGTCTGGAAGCTACTCAGTATGGCAGAGAACACCCTCAGGACACCACAACCTTCCAGATGCTTTGATATCACCTATGTTGTTGTTGTTGTTGTTATGTGCTGGCGAGTCGGACCCAACTCATAGCGACCCCTCCTTGGGTTTCTGAGGCAGTATCACTACGGAAGTAGATTGCCCATCTTCCTTACGAGGAGTGGCTGGTGGGTTTGAACTGCCAGCCTTCTGGTTAGCAGTCAAGTGCCTTAGGCACTACGCTACCAGAGCTCCCTCAGATCACCCATAGTCATTAAGAAAGAGACTAGGGAGGAAATGGGAGGAGTGAGGTTACATTGAGGGGACTGCAATCAATGACATGAAACAAAATGTGCATGAATTGTGGAATGGGAAATGATTTGTTCTGTAAACTTTCACCCAAATCACAATAAAAAGTTTGGGGGGGAAAAAAAAAAGACCCAGGAATTTAAAAACACTGTATTTGAAAAAGCTGATGTTCACCTGAAAGAACAGGGTTTTCTTTTGTGATGCTATCTTTTTAAAGTCAGGTAGTTTAGATATCCACACCCTACTTCCCTAGAAGACAGACTTCAAGCACTGTTACCCTTCAGGGTTAATATCCTGGAAATGAGCCAGGGAGGATTAAGGGGCAGAATTTCAGAAAGTTTCTTAAAGCATCTGCTCAGTAAGCTTATTTGGGCTTCAGCCCCATAGCCATAAACTGAAACACATCATTCTAACTGCAGCCTAACCTATCACAATTCTGTATGGATTTCTTCTGATGTGCTCCTCTAAGGGCTGAGAGGGCATACCTGTAAGTACCTGTATCACCCCTCTGGGAGGGAGTGTCATCTGTGATTACAGATGTCTCACTGCCAGATGAGACATCGCCACACAGTCCTCCCAATTCCCTGTTATCTGCTTTTCATGACTGGATTAGAGTTAGCTACTCCACACTTCATTTTCACAGGTAAGTGTGAACACCCATGCTGTATCTGAGGCCACAATTCAAAGAGGGACTGTTGTGAGGACAACAAATCCAGTGCCAAGTCACTAATCAAAGGAGTCTGTGCTTAGTTGTTCGGCTCCGAAAGGTCAAGTTCTTGTTCGTGTCTGAGAATGTGGATATTAACTGCTTGTGTAAAAATACATGCCCATATTCTGCTCGTGCATGTATGGAGACCATACATGACTAAGATTATGAAATACTGGGTTTAACATTTGAGCCCTTTAAAACAGACTATGCTGATATTATGAGGAAATCTTAAAAGAGTAAAAGGTTTAGGAATGTAGATAAATCTCATCAAGAAAAGTGCTTTCAGTACTTACATACATTCTAAGAGCATAGTGAGGAGCTTTTCATCAGCGCTTATAGGAATGGAAGCTTTCATTCAAACGGCAAAACAGAATAATTGTAAAGTCATTTGCCTTTTTGAATGATGCAGAGCAGGTTACTTTGAACATGATCTTAAAAGATCTGTGTCCTAAAAAAAGACAGGTAAGTATCTGGGAAGTCAGGAATACCCACAGCCTTCCAACTCTCCTGCAATGCTCCGGACCAGGCTTGCTGATTTTGTTGGTGCGGATCGTGAGTCTGCTGTTGCCAGCCAGCAATCTGTCATTCTGGGGTGGGTGCCTCCCCGGAGGGTTAGGGTAAGGAAGGGGACAGATGCTGTGACTGACCTTTATTCCTTTACTCAGGGGTAGGAGCAGTTGGGTTTTCCTGATGCATTACTAACCAGGAAATCCCAACTGCCCAGCTCCAAGGGGTTAAAAACCGTTCTGAAAAGCTTTTTATGTTCTGAAAAGCTAAATTACACATACATGCACATGACAAACACACAGCACCTGGGTAAATAAACTGTGGTTGAATAAAGGCTGAGCTCTTTGCAAAAAGGAATCTGGAAAGCATTTGCTTTTGGGTGGTTAACATTACTCACACTTTACTTTTTTTTTTTTCTTTTTAAAGAAAAAGTGGTTTGGTTTAGAGGAAATGGGGGGAAAATGATCAGAATTGTAATGTGGCTGTTGAAAATAAGATTCCAGTTCATTTACTTTCCAAATCTTAAGAGACTGTGTAGATTGAGAGGGGCACAGAGCCACTGCACAAAGAAACAGCAACACTTTTAGTACAAAAGTTGTTAAAGAAAGAACATTCCCTAGAGATAGAAAGTGCTATGGCAGGCACTGAAGAGGTCATTGAACATAGACTTTCAAGTGTGGGATCAAAGTATCAGTGGTAAATGGTAGCAGCTCAAACAATTCCAAGTAAAAACACTACATGGACTTAACAATGAGCTAAAACCTCCAGTAGATGTGATGGAATTTTAGCATTAAAATAAGTTATGCAACAGAGGAATTATGCTGAGTATACATCATTTGGGCATTTGTGTGGTTAAATGGTTCTTCCTTGAAGGAGAAAGAAAAAAAAAAAAAAGGCAGGAATTCCTACATTTCGGTAGAAATATTACTTGAACCTAAATCAATTGCTGCTTTTGTAGGTCAGAAACTTTCAACATCAGCTATTTCATATGACTCCGCGTAATACTTGTGATTTCTTCTAAACCACGTCAACTGGAGGTTAACAGTTATATTTAGGAAAAGGGGTGAGTGATGGAGAAGCAAATAGTAAAGCTCTTGTAGCATTCAGAAACCAAATGCCTGAGCAGAGTAAGTGAGTTCCCACTAAGAATACCAGAGAACTATTGGGAGAGCTGTGGATGTGAAAATGGTGCTATCAATCCACCAGATGAGGCTTCAAAATCCATTGACTGATGTTTCCATCTGTGATGTGCATATTTGGTGGGGTATGGAAATCATGTAGAATGTTTTTCCCTTACCCAAAGGCTACAAGGTGGAAACAGATCCCACCATTAACACATACTAAGTTGCAAAAACAAGGTTAGGAATTAAGAACTGAGTTCTAAGGGCACCTCTGCTATTTATCAGTTAAAGACTAATGAAATAGTTATTTCAAACAAAGAAAGCAGTAAGTGCATAACTTGTTCATCTTTTCAAACTATTAACAAATGGAGCAAGAGAAAATCATGGAAATTTGTCTGTCAATTATTTATTGTCTCTACACATAGCAACATAATTCTGTTAGGACCCAAGATTTCCCATTGAATCTTACATATTAAAAAAAAAAAAAAATTAGAACCTAAGGACTTTTGCTTCCGTAAAGCATTACATCTGTATTAGAATACCTTGCCAGAACATCCTAAAATCTATGCAAAATACAAGCATTACAAATTAATAGAATTATGAGGGTAAAATCACGAATCCGTGAAGTGACTATTAAATCCAGGAAGTGCTCTACATCAACTACTGGGTTCTGGACTTGACAAGTTTCAGTACTGAATGATGTAACTCATTGCACAAGGGCTCCTCAAGATACAGCGATGCACAAAGAAAAGGAGAACCAAGTCCTTATAAGTTCTACTGGACACAGCTTCCCCTATCAGTTTTTAATATTTTCACAAATTGTTTAGGGGTTAAAATTTCTTTTATCATACACATGTTGTGGGATTATGAAAAGTTTATCTACTTACTACATTTTTAAAGTTTACAAAGGTCAACATGTAACAAATCTAAAGGTGCCAAAGGCTAAATACAAATAAAGTACCAAATATAGATAACAAAGCCATTATGATAAAAGCCATTATCAGCCATAACTACATATTCCATCCAATAATCTCATAAATCAAAGCTCTTAACTGTCTCGATTCATATGTGACTGTATTCTTTCCAATATGCATTCTTTCTTCTTCCAGGGGTTGTTCAATAACTGCAGGTATATTCCTGCCATAAAGTTCACAGTGTTCCAGAAACTGGACACATTCTTGAACAACACTGTCACGTAACATGATCGTGTGTTTTGACATGTTTTCTAATAAAGACAGGAAGCATCTTTTGGCATAATACCAAGTATCAGTCCCCAGTTTTTTATTATAAGGTTCCAAGCTTTTGATAACTCGAGAAATACCAAAGTCATAATTTCCTTTGGCACAATAAAGTGTTCCTATCACCAAGTTGACAATACACAAATGGTAGATTTTTTTATCTGGGTCTTCATAGGAGAGCTGCTCTTCCTCCTTTTCAATCTTCCTCATCAACTCCTCAGCTTCTTCATTTTGACTCGTCATAATATATGAAACACAGAGGTTAGCTAATACAATAGCACTGACATTCAGGATGTTATCATAATGCTTCTTGACAATGGGCTCATAAAAACCTATTGCTTCTTTGTATTTGTTTTCCTGCATGAACAGAACATGAGCCACATTCAACTTCCACACATCATGGTCATTACAGAATTCCACAGATTTGCGGAAGATCTTTTCCACCATTGAATAATTTTCAAGGTTCCAGTAGATTTTTGCTTGGGCCATCAACACGGGAATATACTTCTCAAGGGTCTCATCATACTCATTTACTGCCTTTTTGACAGCTTCATCATCTCTATTGTGTCTTGCTTCCTGCACTTGAATGGTGAGTTTCCGGAGGTGCTCTGTCAGCATCCCAGCTAACCCATCAAGCTTAATGAAAGCCTCATCAGGAGCAGTCTGGCAAGTGATCATGGCATCTAAGAAGTCATAGAGATAGGGTGTGAGGAACTTATAAGTCAAATGGGCATTTTCTGCCAGGACATCTGCTGCCAGGTCGAAATATTCATACTTACAGTAGAGCAACAACAGGTTGCCAAAAGTCTCTGGGGGAAAGGGATTCTGTTGGAGCAAAAACTGTAGCTTTTCAAATCCTTCTGTAGGTCTGTTGTCCATGTTCATTAGCGCTTGGTTGTGTAAGGTCACAGGGTCTAACTCCTCCTCTGACCTTGGTGGCATATCAGTGAGGGCTTCCTGGGCTGCCTCATGGTTTTTTAGCTGGTATTCTATAGCTGCCTTGAGGTTGAAGGCTTCCACCAGAGCAGTCTGGTGAAGGACTAAGGTGTTGCCAACACTGCGAACATCAATGCCTTCCGTGGTCATGCCTACACCTAGCTCTGGGTGCTGGCGTATGCCTCGCTCAATAATGTCGGCGATATGTCTCAGAGCTGGGGCATAGTGCCTGCTGCTGTAATGAGCCAAAGCCAAGTTGTAGGAAAGGTCAGGTCGGTAACCCGAGGCCTGCAGAGCCGCAGAGAACTTGGAACACGCGGCTTCATAATGCCCCTCCTTGTAGAGCAAACAACCCAGGTTGACCTGGCTATCAGGCTCACGCTCACCCGCACTGTCGTCCCCTCCTTCCCCACTCAGCAACTGTTCCACCAGGCTCCGGGCCCCGGGCAGGTCGCCCTCGCTGTACTTGATTGCAGCTTGAAGCCGGAGGACCCGACTGTGGTATGTGGGGTTGTCCAGGAGAAGGAAGGCAACCCGGGTGGCCTCTGGGTAAAGGCAGGCCTTGTACAGGGCCTGGGCCTGGTACAGGCGGTACTGCTCGAGTTCCGGGTGCAGCTGGCCCAGTTGCTCATAGCACTCGGCCGCCAGCACGAACTCCTGCAGGCGGTAGTAGCAGTAGCCCAGCAGCGAAAGGCCGGCGCGGCTCCTTGGGCAACGTTGGAGCTCTCCTCCCAGGAGTTGTACGGCTTCGGTGTAGCGGGAATCGCGTATGAGGCGGTACACGGTCGTGGTAAACTCCCCATCAGGGATCTGTGTACCACTTAGTCCCGCCATTAACTGCCAAGATTGTTGTGCGTCCTCGTTACCACGGCAACAAGCCAACCGGAAACGGAAGACTGCTAAAACATTTGCTCCGGAAGTAACTTCGCCCCATGAGGCTCTGGCTAGGGGTAGACTGGAGTTACTGACGCTGAGACTCCGAAATTTGCTCTCCATGGAACTCCAGATTGTGGAGGCTTCAGTCACAGAATAAGATAGGGAACTCCTCCAGTCATTCAAAGACGGAAATTCTCGTTCCCGGAATGCACTGTCCGGAAGTAGCCGCTGTGCATGCTGGAATGCTTAGTTTTGGCAGAAGGATCCTCTGCCTCGGAGGAGTCGTGGTTTACTAAGGCATTTCCTCCTTTCCACAAGTGAGAGCTACAGGCTGTGCCCCTTGGGCCCTCTCGGTCACTTACGTTTTCCAGGGAGGTTTATAGCCTGAAGTTTTACGTTTTTGAGTAATTTTCACGTTTTGATTTTGTAAAGGAATTGGAATGGAAAAGGAGGAATGTCTCCTTGTGATTCTCCCCAAATTAGTTTCACTTTTGAAGGTGTCTTGAAGGCACTTTAAGTAAACAGAATAGTGCAGAGATCATGGCTCCGTATTTTGGTTCTTTCCAGAGGTTTGCTAGAGGAGAGTGCTATCAATCTCATCTGGTACTGGGAAAGAGTCGCTTTAGTTCCAAGTATCTTCAGCCCCCCTATTTCATAAACAACAAGTGTAACTCAGCATAAATTGGCTCAGTGCACTGCTCTCGTCCTCTCACATTCGCTGTTGTGTACCATCGAGTGGATTCCGACTCAGCGACCCTATGGGACAGAGTTAAAACTGCCCCCTTGGCTGTAAGCTTAATGGTAACAAATCGCAAAGTGTTTTTTTTTTTTTTTTTTTTTTCTCTTCCCTGAGCGGCTGGTGGGGTACACAAATGAAGACCTTTTGGTTGGCAGCTGATTGCTACTAGTAAGAAATGTTGGAGAGAAATGCATGAACTTTTCCAGGGGAGAAAATGGAAGACGAAAATGTGCTGCTTTCTCAATGCACTTATCTGTTAACCCTGCTTATATTAGCCAGGTGTGTGTGTGTGTGAGAGAAAGAGAGAGAGTAACAGAGAATCACATCCAGCCTATACTTACCAGATTTGTAATGATGTTTTTGTTATTATCACTGTGTTGGTTAAATGGTTCACTGGTTAAGCCCTTGGCTGCTAGTTCAGAGGTAAACAGTTCCAACCCACCAGTCTTTCTGTGGGAGAAAGATGTGGCAGTCTACTTTCATAAAGATTTACAGCTTTGGAAATCCTATGGGGCAATTTTATTTTGTCCTAAAGGGTCACTGTGAGACAGATTGACTCGTTGACTTATTATTATTATTATTATTATTACTATTCTTTCAGTTCAAAAACAAACCACCAATTTGCTTACTTTTTATTTTTCCCTAAAAAAAATCTTAGTTTGAAGGTCTCTATGCAGCTCTGGTGGCGCAGTGCCTAAGGCATTCGACTGCTCACCAGAAGGCTGGTGGTTCAAACCCACCAGCCACCCCTCAGAAGGAAGATTGGGCAATCTACTTCCATAGAGATACTGCCTTGGAAACCCAAGAAGAGGCTGTTATGAGTCGGATCTTGATGGCAGTGAGTTTGGTTTTTAGTATGCAGATTTCAATAAGGAGCTCTGGTGGCACAGTGCCTAAGGCATTTGACTGATAACCAGAAGGTTGGTGGTTCAAACCCACAAGCATTTCCACAGGAGAAAAGACCTGGAGATCCATTCCTATAAAAATATACAACCCAGGAAGCCTTGCATGCAGTTCTACTCTGTCCTACAGGGTCTCTATGAGTCAAGATCGACTGAAAGGCACCATATAACAACAACAGATGCAGATTTGCTTAACTATACAAGAAATCATTCTGGGTTTTTTGTTTTGTTTTGTTTTGTTTCTTTGTCAAATATTTAGAATAGATGTTCTAGATTCCACACTCCTACTCCATGTTCCTACCCTGGGTAGTGGCGTCACTGGGGTGTTGCATACCCACTGGGTAAAACTTTCAGGGTGACACCAAAATGACTATAATATTTTTGTGCAGGGTATCAGCAGAAATTCATTGCTCTTTGTAAAAATATCCTTGTAGTTAGTTGTAACAACAAAAACATTTTTCATAAGCCCAGTTTACATGTATCAATATACCTACAAGACTGAAACTCTATGGTAATTTACTTTTTGCACTTTCTACACATTCTGATTAGAGCTGTCATTATCATCCAATTACAATGATGCTTTAAATCACGTGGTTTCTTCTGCTGCCTATAAGCATATGTTCATGTTTTCCTTGTTGCCAATATTTTCGTAGTTGCTGATTTTGTGAAATGATTTGGTGTTTTAGCTACAATATTGTGGTAAGTAGTGTTACGCACCTGTATCAATAACTTTTTTTGAAAATGAAGTAGTACTTAAAGGGAAAGGAGAAATATCAAAAAAGGCTTCTGCTCAGTTACGAATATTGTAACTAATAATGTAACTCAACGGAGAAAGATTTTAGAAAACAATTTTGTTGTTGTTGTTATGTGTCATGGAGTCATCTCTGACTCATAGCGACCCCTCCTTGGGTTTCCAAGGCGATATTACCATGGAATTATATTCATATAATCTAAGAAATATTACATTTAAGCAATTTACAACTATATTGATCACATTCTGTGATTAAAATTGATAATAAAGTAAACATTGCTAAAGATTCTGAATGGTCTGGTAGGGGAAGGAGTCCATGGGAAGGGTGGGTAGAGATGTCACCATGAGTTACCACACTGTGTGACAGTAACCTTAGTGATGTCACTGATCCTTGGGCTGTTTTTGCATAAATTTCTTTGTATTTAATAGTGAGGCAGTGAAAACCTGTTGCTATTGAGTGGATTCCAACTCATATGGATCATATAGGACAGGATAGAATTGCCTCATAGGGTTTCCAAGGCTGTAAATCTTTATGGAATAAGACTGCCACATTTTCCTCCCAGGGAGCAGCTGATGGGTTTAAACCGCCTACCTTTCAGTCTACTTCAATAGTGATACTGCCTCATCAATCCAAGGAGCGGTCGCTATGAGTCGGGTCTGACTAGACGGCACATAACAACAACAACAACGTTATCTTGAAAAGTGCATAATTTACCACTCACCTCACTAGAATAAAGCAGTTTTCTTTTGCTTGTCTACTTCTTTAATTATTGATTGAAATATTGTATTTGTTCTCCCACAAATTTTACAATCCTCACATCACTCTAATGTGTGAGTATGCTTTTAAATAGTGATTCAATGTAATTGCATGGAATAATGAAGTCCCTATTTTTCCACTGCCCAAGGAGCCCTGATAGTGTATCAGAAGTTATTGATGCAGGTACTACCACTGATGGTGCAGTGGTTAAGCACTCAGATGCTGACTGAAAGGTGGTTGTTGTTGTTGTTGTTGTTATTTGCCATCGAGTCGGCCCCGACTCATAGCGACCCCTCCTTGGGTTTCCGAGGCAGTATCACTACGGAAGTAGAATGCCCCATCTTCCTTCCAAGGAGTGGCTGGTGGGTTTGAACCGCCAGCCTTCTGGTTAGCAGTCAAGTGCCTTAGGCACTATGCTACCAGAGCTCCTTTTCAAGATAATAGCTACTATATATATATAATATGTATATGTGTCTGTATTCATATGTGTATTTATATTTAGCATCTGTCATACGCAGCCATTGAAAACCCTGTGGAGCACAGTTCGACTCTGACACATGAGGCTGCCATGAGTCATAGGCATGAGAGGCGGGAGATGGGAACTGTTGTCTTTCATAATCTTACAGGGTGTCCATTGGCCCCTCTACCACCCCAAATAAATGTAGTTCAAGTAAAACATGTCTTTGCTATATAATTAGATACTGCAAGTCCTTTAGCTACATCCTCAATAGAATTACCGCCCATAAATCTTTTCCATACATAAATTTCAGAGCCAATACCAACCGTACTGTACTCTACAAAACCATTTACATATATTATTTGTAATTTTAATAACCACCTTGTAGTCTGTACATTACTGGCTGGGTTACAGCTGTGAGCAGATGTTAGCAAGTGACTAGTGAGGGTGCTGTAAGTCCTAGTCACCTGTTACGCTTTTGAGACTTGAGTAGGGATCTCATTGTTCATACCATAAAGCAACTGAATGTATGTATATATATATATATATATATATTCATTCATTCTCACTTGCTTATAAGTCTGCTAGAGCTGTGTCTTTTTTGGGTGAGACTGGACAAAGAGCTTCCTACTGCATTAGTACCAAGAAGAACAAACTATACACATTTCAGACAGGTTAAGTATGACCAATCACTATCCCCAGAGAGATCAGTTGAGCAAGACCCCCGTAACTGCACTCTAAGACTTCTTCCTACCCAGTCTCCATACTCACCCCTTTTGGGTCTTTAACCCAGAAAACTATGTGGATCGAGGGATGCTTGCTAGTTCTGCTCAGTAATCAGCGAGTGGAGCTGCTGCTTCTCCTTTATGCTTGCCTGCCTGACATTTGTCCCTTGGACACTGCTTCAGTTTTTTAATTTTTAGTTGCTATATACTGATAGCAACTAGGAAGTTGCTACATAAGGTAACAGATCACAGCAACATGAAGGTACCTTTTGTATCTTTCAGCCTCTCTCTCTCTGTTTTGCAGATTTGTGTTTTCACCATGAAAGCATTCACCTTCAAATGGCTTCCCAAATGTATTAAAAATAAAAGGCCTCTCAGCTTTCCCCCAGATGGCACTGATCTCTCTGCAGGCATCAGTTGGGGTTCTCCTCTCTGTGTTGGTACGTATCTGTGAGGGTGGCAGCTGAAATGGGCAGGAGGGAAGCCGTTGCGTGCCTGCCACCTTGTTTCTTGTGATGCTGCTCCAGAGTCCTGGCTTGAAAAAAGCAGGACGTTCGGCTTAGACAGATGGAGGGCAGGGTCATTTCAAAATGAAATGAGTGCACAAATCACACTGTGAAATTGGCATCACCATCACT